TTTTTCTTGAAATTCTGTATTACTTGTACCCTCTTAGTGCTTTGGGTTTTTTTTTCCTTTCTTTTTCTCTTTAAATAAAAAAAAGAGTATAGCCATGTGGGCTTTAACACAGACACTGCCAACAATCAGCCAAATGAACTTCAGTAAGTATCTTCCCTTTATAGGAGCTTTGCTTTTTAGTTTTGACAGAATACAGAGACAGAGACTTCAAAACTCTCCAGGATGCTAAAAAAGGTTTCCAACCTCCCATTCCTCTCCTAGTGTGTGTGTGCTCAAAATAGCATAAGAGACTTTTCTTACTCTGCACAGCTACCAACTGCTCTGAATGAGGATATGAGTAATATGGAGTTGACCTTGCTTAAGACTTCAAAGAATCTGACATTCCCAGGAGAATATCATGTGCTCAAATCAAGATGAATGACTACACAGAGCTTGGGAAGCGATTTTTCAGAACATTCAAACTTCTCAATAACCTTACTCTGATGACTGAGCCCTGGGGTACTGTAAGTATTTAAAAAGGAGCCATAAAGGAGAACTGTCAAAGAGACTGAGAAGGCAGGTAAAGGAGATATAAGAGTGATGTCCAGAAGATGAGATCTACATAGTTCAAGAAGGGAAGTGTAGGGAGCCGAGTGACAGGCATTGCTGCCTAGATGTCTCTCTCTCTCTCTCCTATGGGCACTGCGTCTGCCTACATTAACCATAATCCTCTTCTGCTTACGTCACTTATCCGGATGTGATGGTAACCCTGTTGTATTCATCTGTTTAACCTCTTCCTGTCCCAGCTCCCGCCCTTAGCCTATAAAAGGTGTGATTATTTTCTCAATAAACCGGAGGCTTGATTGGGTCACATCAACTTGCCTTCGTCTCTTTTTGTCTCCCCCATGTCTTTTATTTAATCCCCGTTTCCCCTCCAGGAGTTCTGAACTTGTTGATCTGCAGGCCGGATCAGGGAAGGAGGGGTCGGGGGTTTAGGTCAGTTAAGTGCCTGCTTGGCAAATGTGAGGTTGAGGTCGTGAATTCGATCCCCAGCACCAAAAAAAAAAAAAAAAAAAAAAAAAAATCCTTGGAGATTTAGCTCAGTGGCTCAAGATTTTACCTGTAAGAAGGGAAGGAATGACAAACTGCATTGAATACTGCTGCTTATGGATCTAGTAAGACAAACTAAGGAACTTACCACTAAAGATGACAAACCAAATGGAACTGGTAAGCTTGACAAATACTTTTCAGTGGAGTCCTGACCTAAGATCATCTGACTGTGGTGAATTTAACAGAATAGAGTGGGACATGGTGGTAAATACCTGACAACCCAGCACTCTGGGAGGCTGAGGCAGGAAGATTGCAGTATCAAGCCCAGTTGGGACAGTTTAGTGACTAGCCAGACCCTGTCTTTAAAAAAAAATGAGTTAGGGGATGAAGCTCAGTCCAGAGGTCCTAAGTTAACATCCAGTAACACATACACATACACACACACACACACACACACACACAATAAAAAAAAAAAAAAAAACAAGGGGTGGGGAGAGTGGAGAAAAGGAGAAAGCTAGGGCTACATATCAGTGGTATAGCACTTGTCTGGTATGTTTGAGGGTTTGTGTTTGATTTCCAGTTCTGCAAGACAGAAAAAAAAAAAGAAATGGGATAGTTGGTTTTTTGTTTTGTTTTTGTACTTATTTGGAAGTTATTTCAAATTTCTAAAACACTGCAAAAATAATGTCATATATACACACCATTTGTCTAGACTATTTGAGAGTAAGTTATAGATAAGATATATATCTTTCCTAAGAACAGGGATATATCTTAAAACTATATAGTTATCAAATTCATAAAATTCCACTGATTCAATATTTTATCAACATATTCCAATTTTTTCCAGTGTTGGGGATTGAACCAAAAACCTCGCACATGGTTAGTGCACACTCCACTACTGAGCTACATCCCAATCCCCTAAAGCAGTGATGGCAAACCTTTTAGAGCTTTCAGTGATACAAACTGCCTGCTGAAGCACACATGCCACTACTGCCCTAGGCATTCTTTATTACCATTATAGGAGCCAAGAGAGTCAGGTACAGTATTCTGTTTAGCTATCATACATCTAATTTCCTTTCTCCTGGAACATTTCTACAACCCTTACTACCTTCTGGGAAGATAGCAGAGTGATAAGAGCAGGGAAAGATCCTCTCGAGATCTGGTGTCCAGCCACTAGATACAGCAATGTGAGGAAGAGAAGGCAAAGTGAAGAAGAGAAGGACAAGGAAAGTTCCTGGACCCAGGGAGGATCTGAAGTGAGAATTGAAGCCCACAGGGAAAGTGAAAAAAGAAACTTCAGTCAAGAAGGAGGTGGGAAAAGGCACCTTCTCCCTGAATCAGGATTTACTTACAAGGGAGAAGCAGTTCAAACCTATGGACACAAAGTGATTGCTAGCAATCCCAGAGATGCAGTACAGCAAAGGGGCAGCGGATACCATGGACTGCACTCAGGGGTAAGTGGCGGCAGATTTGGCCCTCCAGGGGGAGAGGGTAGTTGGTCAGGATGCATCTTGGAGAGGGGCCAACTGAGCTCAGAATTCAGAACAACTGCTGGCTGCATCTGGTACCTCCCGGCTGAGTTCAAGCCTGCAGAAAGTGCACTGACTGCAGCAGCGCGAACAGGTCTGGTTCTCCACCCTCATGGCCAAAAACCAGCCTGAACTTCAGAGCAAAAAAAGGTGCAGGCTTAGTGACAATACCCACTACCCTGCCATAAAGTTACTGCTGACTTGTTGGGAGAAATCAACATGGATCTGAACCATCTCCACACGTCATCTATCAGTGACAGCAGAGACGAAGCTTAAAGTGGACACTTTCCTCTCTTCTTGTTGTTGTGCTATGTTTTGGTGTTTTTCTTCTTCACTGTTTGATCTTATTTTTTATATGAGTATGAATGTGGTTTCTAGAGGTTTTTTTGTGATTGTTGTACTGTTCTGTCCCTCTTGTTTCTTTCTTCTCTCTTTCCCTCCTGTCTTCTGCATCAGTTTCCCGAAGTTTGCAATCCTCCTTTGTTCTCCAGCCTTGCTTCCAATCGCTTTCTCTTCTTCTATTTCTGTATTTTCTCCCCCAGCCCCTATTAAATTTTCTTCCCTGAGGGTAAAATTGACATATTGAGGGCTTATTTACTGCATACAATTTTCTGGCTTGTTTTAGATTTTTTTTTTAAATGTAACTACAAATCTAGTTCATATGGTTAAAGGTGGCAAATTAATAGTTACCTAACTCTGTCATTTTCCAGGCTATTTGATGCTATTGTTATTGCTGACTGCACCACATTAGTCAAAAGTGACATAATTGTTCTAACCAGCTGTTTTTCCTGATATACCAAGACTGAGATTGAGAAGGAGCCATATGAGGCCAGTGCCAAAGAACCAGGGGCTGGGCCAAGAAGGCAGCAGTTTCTCATCCACAATAAAGTGAAGAGGCAGGATCTTGCAACAGACTCAAAACCCAAAATCCAGTTACACCCAAAAGACACCTTGGGGAAATAGTCATTTCCAAAGGATTTTAAGTACTAGTAATAAAGCTACTCACCACAAGCATCAACCCAGGAGTTAAACTAAAAAAAAAAAAAAAAAAAAAAAAAGAAAGAAAGAAAAAGAAAAAAAGAAAATGCAACAAGATGCAACCCCAGACATCCAGTTCACAAAAGGCAAACCTAGAGGTGGGACAATCTGAAAGTACCTCTCAGAACTGCTAACAACAAATGAACGAGGCTCTAGAAAAATACAATCCTTTTTTTGTATTGCCATTTTTTTTTTTTACTGCGGCAAATATTTTCCAATTTTAATATTTTCTAATATCCAGTTATATGTCACTAAGTATATTCATATTATTGTACCATTACCACCATAAGTCTCCAGAATGTTTTTATATTCTCCTACTGAAACCCTGTCCCTATTAAACACAAATTCCATATTACCAACTGCCATGGTCCTTGGTAATTAACACCATTCTACTTTTTATTTGCATAAACCCAGCAATATATGGTTAGAATTATTATTTTTTTATTTTAAAGAAGGTAAAATTAAACAGAACAAAACAAATCATAAGAAAACAATTTTAAGAGACACAGGTTTCAAAGCAAGGCCACTGTATATCTTCACTGTCTATCATATTGTCTCTTGTTTTCTTCCAAATAGTTGTCCACATCTTCACACACAGTGAATACATACTAAACATTATAGTATTAAACTAATCAGAACAAGATGATGAAGGCTTTTTAGGTCTTCAAGACCAGACAATAGGGAAGTCAACAATGGCTGCTGTAATGTCTCATTCTCTTTGAAACAGCTGTCGGTATCTTTACATACACTGAAATTAAACATAAGAGACTAGACTAATATCACTCTGAATAGTAAATAATAGTATTGCTAGATTTTATATCATAATGCTACAGAATTAGCACTGAGTATTTTAGTGTGTCTTCTCGTGCATTATACAATCTGTTCCCGTAAACTGTTTAGAAATTATACACATGTAGAAATTCTACACATGAATCTCTACATGTATACCTATCCTTTGTGTATTATAAGGGAAAACAGATCAAAACAAGACAATAAAAAAGAATTCCTAGAAAAACTAGAAACAAAAAAGACACAATACTAGGTGATCTACAGTAGTTACTATGCTGTCTCTTGTTATTTGCAATAGAATTGTCTACATCATCAGGCATAATATAATTGAACACAGCATTACATAGCAATTTTAATAAAAACACAGCATTGGAGACATTGTAGGACTTCAAAAGCAGTTAATAATCAAACCAGAATGAGTATCTTATTGCATCTTGTCATTTTCAGAGTAGTTGCCTCTACTCTTCGACTTGAACTATCAAGTATACCAAATTCAAATAAAATCAATCAAGACAAAACAGTGGTCTAACAAACCAGATTCATATAAGATCAGTCATAGTAAGACAATGTAAGTAATACAGGGCTTCAGTTTAATAGGAAATTAAGGATAGTTACCATAGTATATCCTGCTATTTTGGGATAGCTGTCTGTGTCCTCAAATGTAGTATGAGTAGACAGACTGGAATAGAATAAAATCAAATTAAACAGAGCGATCAGACTATATGTGGCTTTTAAATCCTGATACACTATTAACAATGTTCTCTGCCTTCCTTTTTTAGACACTTCCTCCCCTTTCCCTTCCTCAGGGTGCTTTGTATATTTTGGGTCCCACTAACTCCTTGTTTTTAGATTAAGGGGGCAACCCATTGTCTGTCTGAGTGGTGCTGAACCTTTTTACCCCTGAACTTGATCTTGAGCTGTATTCCTTTACTTACTAAAGCCTCAAGGTTTTCCTTCCTTATAACTGAGTAGTTCTCCACTGCACAAAAAGTGTCATGACTTTCCAACCTGTCTGCAGCTGCTGGAATGAGTTGTCCCTAATTCTCTCTGGTTCCCTGTCACATAGAGCATCGTTTTCTCATCTTTGACTTTCAATTTATTAACCCTCTTTCAGGTAAAGTATATTTCCTATTCAGAGCATCTCAATGGATCCTATGCCCTGATATACTATGCCTGTGTTTCTTTTTGTTAGCATATCAAGGCCATCTATATTAAGATATTATAGCCAACTGTCTCTGCCTCAACTCTGTTATTTTATTTTTCTGCTATTATTTGTCCACTTTTCTCCTTCATTCCACAGTCTGCCCCATTCATTGAGGCCTCACTGCCACTGTTGCTGGAATCCTGGTATTTTTTTCTCTCTCTCTAGAATGTCCTTCAGTATTTTTTGTAGGGTTGGATTGGTGGTCACAAACTCCCACAGTTACTCCTTGTCATGGAAATATCTTGTTTCTCCATTAATTTTGAGAGAGAGTTTTGTAGGGTTTATCAATCTGGGTTGGAAATTATTTTCTTTTAAGGCTTGGCCTACTTCACTCCAAGCTCTTCTTAATTTGATAGTTTCTGTTGAGAAGTCTGTTGTTATTTTGATGGATTTTCCTTTATAGATAATCCGTTTGTTTTCTCTGACCACTTTTAATATACTGTTCTTCTGCTGAATTTCTGGGATCTTGACTATTATGTGTCTGCGTATAGATCTGTTTTGGTTGTAGTTGGGTGGAGTTCTGTATGCCTCATTTATCTGGATATCATTTCTTTTTCCTATGCTTGGGAAGTTTTCCTTAACTATTTCTGTGAATAGCCTTTGTATTTCATTTGTGTTTACTACTGCTTCTTTGCTCATGTTTTTTATTCTTAAGTTATAGATCCTCTTGTTGCCTTCTAGCCTTTGAATTGTTACTTCCTGGTTTCTTGTTATTTTTAATAGGTCTTTTCTTTCACAATCACACATTGCAAATCTATCTTCAAATTTTGAAAGGCTAGCCTGAGTTTCTGTCAGGGCATTTTTGTCAGCTTTCAATGGAGTTTTTAATTTCCTGGTAATCTCTTTGGATCTGTTTCATGTATTCTAGATTTTGTTTATATTCTTCACCAAAGGTTTCTCTTCTTTTTCTAGGTTCCTCCATTCTTCTATCTGTGTCTTCTTGAGAGGGGCTTAGCATTTCTTCTATTAATCTTTTTATATCTTGCCTCACTTGAATTAGAATTTCAGTTTTAAGTTCGTCTATGAGGTCACGAAGGTTTTTTCTTTATGCCCACTAATGCTGTGGCCGATACTGCATGATTGCTGCCCTGGATCTCTTCTGTATTTACCTCTGCTGGACTTATTTTCCCAGGGTCAGAGGCTGGAAGCTTTTTCTTATTTCTTTCTCTTATCATGTTTTTGGTTTCTTTGAGACAGGTACATGGTGGAGGTCGCCGGCACTCTTCATATTGCTTACCATTTTTCTGAAGTGTGCTGAATGAGGGCTTGCTGCCTTCTCCAGTTTGCTGTTATCTGAGGGGCACACAGGGGCGATGTAGGCTAGCCACTCTTCTCTGAGCCAGTCAACCGGCGACTGCCTTCAGCATGTTAGTCTGTGCTGTGTGGATGTCACAGGTTTGGGACAGTTTAGTCCCTGGCTATTGGGTCCTGACCAGGGGCGTGACCCAGCCCAAGGAGATCCCACCAGTCCTCTCTGGGCCTGGGGCAGCTTACTGATGCCACTGTGGTTCTGGGTTCAGGCCTGTCCTGCCCAACTCCAATATATCCTCCAGCTGGTCACACCCTCTGCGGGACCCAATTTCCAGCACTCACCATGAATTAATGCAGCTCTCCAATTTGGCTCCACTCTACACTGCGCTGCATCTTCCCACCAAGAGCCCCAGACTCACCAACTCCTGATTTTGGCGGCCGCGGCTTTAGTGTGCCCACAAATCATCAGACTCTAAGGCACACCTAGCATAGCGTGGGACCAGGCGGGCATCTGGTTGAGCCTTTCATCCATGTTTTTCCTTCCTTTCTCTTTTTCTTTTTCTTCAGTTTCTTTCTGGGTCATGAGAATCCCTCTCCTTTCATCTGGTCTTTTCCATGTTGTTAAATTCTAGCATCTGAGTTGTTTTTCTCAGAGAGGCTCTCTACCCTGCTACCTATCAAGCCGTCACCTTCAGAACTCTCTCTGTTAGAATTATTATTATCTTTTAAGGAAGCTAAAAGGAGAGCATGTACAATTTCAGTTTTGCTATACTAATATTCTTATTTATGATTTCTGATTCTCTGTATTTGTTTCTGTTCATCTGAAATAAAAGATGCTGTTTGAAATAAGGTGTTTGAAAAAGACCCCTCTGAGGTGGTATTTCTCTGATTTATATTTTCATTCCTTGATGATATATTATATGTTTATTTGCTTCAGATGCTTCTCAACCTATGATGGGGTTACATCTCATCAAACCCATTATCAGTTGAAAATATATGTTGAAAATTCACTGAATACATTCAACACATCAGACACCATTGCTCAGTCCAGTTGACTTTAAACCTGTTCAGAATACTCATATTAGCCTTCAGTTGGGCAAAACCATCTAACACAAAGTCTATTTTATAATAAAGCATTGAATATTTCATGTAAGTTATTGGCTATTATGCTACAAGTGAAAATAAGAAAGGTTGTTTTTCCTAGCACTTGGGAGGCTAAGGCAGGAGAATCACTGCAAGTTCAAGGCCAGCCTGAACTGCATAGTGAAACCCTGTCTCAAAAAACACAAAAAATAAAATTAAAAAAAAAATGAATGGTCGTACTATATCACCATATGGGGAAAAAATCAAAGTTCAAAATTTGAAGTATGGTTTCTACTAGGTTATATTGTTTTCACACCATCATAGTCAAAAATTTATAGTCAAATCACCATAACTTAAGACCACCTTTATGTCATTTAGACATGCCAATTCAAACAAATGGAGGGAGTCCCTCTATTCTATGTCTTCAGCACCAACAACATGGAAGGCATGTAGCAGGCACTAAGGAAATACCTGTCTAGCTCTAGCTCTAAGTACATGTTATATACTTGTCTATCTCTAACCACATATCCAGAATTTTATCTTTTGATTTTTAAGATCTATTCCTTTTTTTCTAAAAGTCCATAAACATACTTGGACATTTTTGCCTACTCAGTGGATAAATGGAGGAGCTTTTTCCCCCCAAACTGAGCATGTGTTTCAAAAGGGAATAATACTCTTTTATCACCTGTTTTGTGGCAGTTAACTAGATGAATTTTGAGTCAATCACAATGACACTCATTTTAGCACCAAAACAAAAACAACCAAGTTGCTACAGAGGCAATGTGGCAAGGAGTGTGGTTTGCTTGCCACAGTAATTTATGAGCTTGGGTTATTATTATTACTATTATTGGCACTGAGGATTGGACAGCCTCTCACTTGCCAGGCAGGCATTGCGCTGCTGAGCTATACCCCCAGCCCAAGCTTAGAGTTTTCTGAGTACATGATAAAACTTTTGAACCAGAAGCAAATGAGTGGTTGTACCCTGAATAAAGAGGTGAATACTAAGGCAGATAGCTCCAAATAACATTTGTCCATATGCCTATGGTATATAGGATATTCAGAATAACAAAGTTTCTAAATGTGGATATATCCCCCAATAATAATAGAACTCCAAATCAAGATCTTAACATAAATATTGTCTTGAGCTATTGATACTTCAGAGGTGTTTTCAGAAACAATCATAAAACCTTCCCTTAAGGGCCTGTTTTCAACTCGGGATTTCTAACTATAAAACTCAAAATAAGATTACTGTCATAAATTATAATTCAGAGTGTCACAAGACATAATAAAATAGTAGGGCTAGACCTGAAAGACTCTTCGGAAATCAGAACTATCAGATAACAGACTTTAAAATAATAGTGTGGGGAGGAACAAAGATGGCAGATAGATAACAGCAGGCTACAGAGGCTCCCTGAGATAGTCAACTTAGAATTCCCCATAATACAGTGTGGGGAGTTCCAAACAGAGAGAGACGAACTCTCTCATCCCAAAAAGAAACTAAGGTGAGAAGAACCAATCAAACATACAGTCCCGCTGCAACTATTGGAATAGCGAAGGTTCAGTGCTCCAGCTGCAGTGCCCTGAGCAGCGTTGACTTACTGAGCCATCTAAAATCCCACCGCTTCAACTCACTGGAAACTCACTTGCACCAATGAAGGGAGTCGGTGAGCCAAACGAGTGCTGAGCTAGCAGGGAACCCGCATCGACCTGTGGTGAATAATGGGATAAAAACATTCCACAGAGAAAGGGGCTCCAACAGAGGACATTCTGGAACTGGGCAGGACTTGCAGGAACAAGGGGCAGCAGTGATTCAGGCAGTTGTTCCTTTGCTGAATGGGATTGGCGGAGTGAGCTTGGCCTGGGTCACGTGACCTGGCTAAGACCCAATAGGTTATCCGAAATCAATTCCACACTGTAGTGGCGCACACTAACACAGTGAAGCAGGTTGACTGACGTGGAGGGGTGAGGTATAGTCTGGATCCTGGTTTGTGTGGCCGGGTTGGAAGTTTAAGGGTTTACCGAAGACTGGGAGCTGAGCAGTGCTCCTGGGCTGGGCGGGAGCGGGCCCTGCATGGTTTAGTTTCTTTTCCGTATAACGTCTGCTGCCGCGTATACCCGCCATCTTTCTGTCTTTGAGGGATGCTTCGGCCAGGTCCGGGCTTTTTGCCTTCCAAAACTGGCGCGGCGAAATTCAGCAGTGCTCTACTCCACCCTCATCCGTGAACGCCAGGTCCGCCCCGGCGCGGCCAGCTGCGGGCTCCCAGGGCTGGGAGCTCGGGGACCCTCGGGAGCCTCCGACCCGACCCCACCGCCTCCTCGCGGCCTCTGGCCTTGCCAGCCCCAGGGGCCCGGAACTTCATCTGGGCCGCTTCTTCCGGGCCAGCGAGAGTCCAGGGGTACTTCCCCGTCTTTCTCCTCTGAGATGAGCTTTTACCGGTTCCTGAGCGACCATGGGCTTCCTGGAGCCCCGACCTCGGCCCGGTAGCCCCTATTCCTGGGGGAGAGGCTCCCCTAGCTTCCCACTTGCGCCCTGGGTCTCCTCCTCGGGCCCACCAGCCGCGGTGCCCCAGCACTTTCCAGAGAGCCCCTGGGCAGCAGCAAAGCCAGCCACTGGCAGCACCCCCGCTTACCTCGACTTTACTCCAGTGGGAGATTCCCCTGGAGAGATGCTAAGTCTCTGCAGAGATTGAGAGAGGAGAGGGAAGGGAAAGGAAAAGGAAATTAAGATGTTTTATGGATGCGCATCACTTCCCCACAAGGAATGTAAGCATTGTGATTGTTACACACATGTACTAATAACTAAAAGTTTAAAAATCTATGCCCAGGGAGGTTCGCCTCAGTACTATTTGTAAGAGCAACCTAGGTGCCCATCAGTGGGGACAGTGTTCTCGTATGCAGTCCAGCCATCCTGCACAGCCCCAGTAACACGCAGCTGTGCGCATCTTTATATGCTGGAAGTCTTTGAAACCAACTGGAGGACAGAGGCCAAGAGTGGAGTTTCGACTACTTGTTATATCACGTTTATATTATGTTTTGCAAGTAGATGAATAAATACCAAGCAGTGAGCCAGAATCTGGGCAGTCACCCACGCTGTGACTGACGGGAATGGCACCCAACACCTGCTCAAATAATGGTACCAGATTGTGAGACTTGTACAAATCGGTCCTGAAAATCAAAAAATTTTATAGTGGGCTCGGGAGTATTGGGCAGAACTCCTGTGAGCCACATCAGGTTAAACAAAGGCCTTCGTGTTTGTTAACTGAAAATGTCACACTTTCTGGTTTGATATACATTATATTGTAGAATTTTCAAGAAACTGGATGGGGCTGGGGATTTAGCTCAGTGGCATAAGCGCCTGCCTTGCAAGCGTGTAGTCGTGAGTTCGATCCCTGGTACCGGTAAAAAAAAAAAAAAAAAAAAAACTGGAGAGACCAGGTGGAGTTTTTCAGGAGGGCTTTAATAGTGCAGTGTCCCAGCCACTAGAAATGCTCAGAACCAACAAGTCCCCTTTTGTACAATTTATAGTGTTAAGCTGGTAGAGATACAGAAGTGAAACAAAGGCAGTCATTCTAGCAACTAACCTTATCTTAGCCTTGAAAGAAAACACATGGTGTGCATTTCAGAATGTTAGGATACTGTAAAGCTTGTAACCCCACTTGTTAGTTTTATCATTGTTGGTACTTGGTATTGTTCCTCTAAGGGAGGAGATTCCCATGAGGAAACGGCTTGAAGTATCTCCCTTATCAATGAGAAAAACAAGGTGTGTTTTTGTCTGCATTTGCTCTAACACTGCTAACTGTGGTATATATTCTGGGAATCTCTGTAGTTATCTGAGCGATTATTTCTGATTTCATTTTCTCCAGAGCCTCATTCAATTGCTTTGTTGCTACCACTTCAGAGAGACCTGGGGGGGGGGGGCTTGTGGATTTTCTCATCTCATTGCACCCCAGATTTGCCTTTGGTGACCTGAATGTCTGGGATTACATTTTGCTTGGGCCTTCTCATTTTCTTTTCTCTCTATTTTAGTTTGATTCTTGGGCGATGCTTGTAAATTGCCTATCGTGTGTTACTTTATTGCTAGTATTTAGAACCTTAGCTGATGATTACGTCTCTCAGGTATCTTCCAGGTGTAGTTGGTTTTTGGGTTTTGAGTCTGCTGGAAGATCTCACTTCTTCAGTTTGTTAGAGTTGAGAATTTGTTGTTTGTTTGGCCTAGTCCCTGATTCTTTGACAGTGTGCCACAGCATTTTCTATGACCCTCAGTCAATCTCAGTCATGGAATACTAGGATTAACAGCTATTTAGAACAACTGTGTTAATTTTGGCTATAGTGGTGCCAATAGCATCAAACAGCCTAGAAAACAACAAACTGAGCTAACTCTTAACTTGCCACTTTTAAGAACTAGATTTGTGATTATATCAAAATGTAAATCAAACTAGAAAATTATATGCAGTGTATAAGTCCCCGATGTGTCAAATTTGCCCTTGGGGTTTAAAATTTAAAATGGATTAAGGAAAAAATAGAGAAATGAAGAAAAGCATGAGAGTAAACGTAAGGTTGGAGGACAAAGGGGGACCATGCCAACTTTGGGAAGCTGGTGCTGAAGACTGAAGGAAAAGAGAGATGGAAGAGATAAAAGGAATAACAGAGCACAACCACACCCTCAAAGAGGCTAGGAGCCACGTTCACACTCATATAAAAACAATGAAGGAGAAAGAGAAAAAAGAAAAAAAAGTCAGGTGCCTCTAATCTCCACATTTGGGAAGCTGAGGCAGGAGGATCAAAGTCAGCCTGGGCTACACAGTGGGTTCAAAGCCTGCCTTTGTGGTATAATGGGACCTTGTTTCAACAACAATAGCAGTAGCAACAGCAAGCTCAGCGGCACCGCATGGCAAGAGTGAGGTCCTGCGTTTGAGTCTCAGTATCCTCCCCAAAGGAAATCAATAACCTCTGAGAAGTGGAATCATAAATAATACCTCAGTTCCCAAACACTTCTGTAAACAATTTGGTTCACAAAAAGAAGAGTTTGGCAAAATTTTGTTTGTAAACTCTGCATTGGGTGATAAACATGACCCCAACCATCTTTCCCACACAAAAACAAACATGGCCATCTTTTCCAAAATCGCAGAACAAATTAAGTTAGTGAACCCAGATAGCACTGTGTTTGTCCTTCTATGGCTGGTTTAGTTCACTGGGCATAATGTCTTCAGGTTCATCCATGGTCTAGACTATGTCAGAGTTTCCTTCCCTTCAAGATGCATGTATGTGCACATCACACTTTAGTTCCCCATTCATCCATGTGTGGACACTTGTGTTGTTTCCGCCCTTTGCTTATTGTGGAAAATGTTGCTATGCACGCAGGTTTACAAGTATCTGCTTCTGATCCTGCTTTCAGTTCTTTTGTACATAAATCTTGCAGTAAAATCGCTGGGTCACAGGGTAGGTCGAACCTTTTGAGAAACTGCCAAACTGTTTTTTCTAGTAGCTGTGGTATTTTGCATTCCCATCAGCAATGCACAAAGGATCCAGTTTCTCCACATCCCATCCAACACTTGTTATTCTCCATGCTTTTTGTTGTTGCTATTTTCTTGTCATTGTACTGCAGATTGAACCCAGGGCTTTTGCACTTAGCTACATCCCCAGTATGTGGAAATCCAGTTTTCATGGCACCATTTGTTGAAAAGATTGTCCTTTCCCCAGTGAGTAATCTTTGCATCCTTGTCAAAAATCAGGTAATCATATAACTTCAGGTTTACTTCTGGGCTTGTTAGTGTACTGTATTGATCTAATTGGCTGTCATTATGTCAATATAGTTAAGTGGTGAAGACAGGAAGCGCAAGTCCTCCAACTTTCACTATCTTCTTCTCTCCCCTTCCCAACTCTATATTGGGGATTGTACTAACATATTTCTCTAACCTTTTTATTTTTTTATTTTAGGGCCTTGGTAAGTTGCCCAGGCTGGACTTGAACTTGCACCCCTCCTGCCCCAGCCTTGCAGAGTTCTGGGATTACATGTGAGTACTACTGTGTGTGGCTCCTCCCTTTTCTTCATCAAGATTGTTTTGGGTATCCAAGGACCATTTCAATTCTTTATGAACTTGAGAGTTAGTTTTGCCATTTCTATGAAAAGAGCAATTGGAATTTTGGTAGGGATTGCACTGGATTTATGGGCTACTTTGGGTAGTACTGAACTCTTATTAAAAATGTTGTCTTCCTGTCCATGAACATGGGATATCTTTTCATTTATTTAGGTATTTTTTAATTTCCTTCAGTTTTCTGAAGTGTTTTTAAAATCATGAACAACTTTAAGATTTTTTCCAAACACCTTTTCTGTGTCAACTGAGACGATCATGTGGGTTTTCCCTTTTTTTCTGTTAATGTTATGTACTACACTGACAGACTTACTACACTGACAGATTTTTATGTTGAACTACCCTTGTATTCCTGTGTTCCACTTAGTCATGGTCAGTAATTAATTTAGTATACTGTCAAATTTTATTTTTTATTATTTTGTTGAAGATACTTGCATCGATGTTGATGAGGGATATTGGTCTGTAGCTTTCTTTTCTTGTGATGTTTTATCTGGGTTTGATATCAGAGTAATGCTAGCTTCATAGGGCATGGTTTGCGTTAAATATGTTTAATCAATTCTATTATATTTATGTTCTCTTTTTCCAAAGGTCTTACATCTGTCTATGTGTCTTTAAGGATATATGATAATATAGCCTACACACTTTTCTGTAATTTTCTTATCACAAGATATCTTTATCTGGTTTTGATATCAGAGTGACACTGGCTTCATAGAGTGAGGTCATTTTCTTATCAAATGTAAGTAGTATCTGTTTAATTAATTCTTTTGTATTTATTTCCTATGTAAAAATAATATTATA